TAATTACGTATGCATCGTCGTCTGCTATAGCTAATAATATACTTGTAAAAATTAGTAAAAGTATCCATACTCTTCTCGCGATCACAACCGGCATTTTACTCGCTCCGTTGATTGTCAATCGAGAACGCTGATAAGACTAAAAGTAAGTCACTCTATACCATTTATTTTCTCAGTAAGCGCAGCTTAATCAGTAATATGTATGTATAAGTGCATATGTACATTAGGGTGCTGCCAAATAACTAACCTTACGAATTTATGGTCTTTTGAGATTTCCATGAGATTTGAGATTTTCCATGTAAATAACATGTGAAAAAATTTGTTTTCATCAAAAATTTTATAACTATTGAACCGTTGGAGATACAATATTTGTAAGCATATACTTGTAGGGCAATAAATTCTCTAAAAAATTACCCTAAAGTCGGTTGTCTTACAGACGATTAAGAGTATTAAATATGTTAATTATATTTCTGAACGAGGTATAGCGTTGATACAAAGTTATAAACGAACTATGATGAAAGACGAAGACAAAGACCAATTTCTTTTGCAAGTTGTGCAATTACATCGCCACCAACATCGTAGTTGCAAGAATATTAATGTTTAAAAATGCAATAAAAAATTATTAAATGCATTAAAACTCTCTCTGCTCTGACAAATTTAGTTTACAATCAACATTTTCTACACATTTTGTATAATTTTAGTGTTGGTTTTTTTCATTTAGCATGAATATTTCCAATCATAAAGCCCTAAAACTGCATATTTTTGCCCTTTTTCGATTATCATTGCCCGTAAGTATATACATTTTTTCAGTCAAGACAATCAACTTAAGGGTCATTTAGAGAATTTAAGGCCCTACAAGAAAATGTCACAAAAATTTTTTATCTCAAATGATTCAATAGTTACAAACTTTTTAATGGAAAAAAATTTTTTGCATGAAAAATTTCAAATGCCCATCGACACCTTTTAAAACTGGAATAAAATTTTTTCCAAATGGGAGAATTTTCTTCTCATTTCATAGGTCCTTTTAAGAATATAAATCCGTTAAGTTCGTCATTTTGGATCACCCTAATGTACATATTCATGTATGCTCTTGTTATCATACATACATACATAAGTTTGTATATGTATACTCATAGTAGTTTTATACAAAATTCGAATACACTTGATTAAATTGATTGATAAAAGCTTTTCACCACATTTCTTTGTCCGGGATTATTTAATAATACACACACATATTCACGTGCGCCCATGCTTGGATACACTCCCATATGCATAAGGGGTGATTCCAAGTCGCCTCATTCGCTTTTATTTATAGTTAAACTGAATGGTCGCCAATTCACACACCTTTTTATATGTCTGTATTTTTTATGCAAAAATAGATCTTGCACCAAATTTTTCGTATTTTGGAGAATCGTTACTAGTCCTTGCCACATTAGAATTCCGAATTCGGATGGCTGGTGGGCGTAGTAGTAGACCGATTTTTAACACCTCTCAGATTTATGTCTTCCTAGGTTAATCGAAGTTATAAACCGAATTTCATTGAAATCCCATAAAATTTCCCATATCCGCCCCCTAGAGTAGTGGGCGTGGCAGTCCTCTAAATTTTACCATTTTTCATATTTATTCATTCCTAGGCAAAAGTACTCCACATTATAATTTTTAGCAGAATCGGGGCACATTTACTACTTTTTGCCACATTTTCTATGGGGCTCCTCCACTGAGCGCCGGTCACCAAATCAGCTCTCAGTGGAAAAGTAGCTTTATTTCTCCACTTTTATAGCGGATAATTATCAGAAATTGGATGTGACCTGTTCGATCAGCATTAAAATCTTACAATCTACTCGTAACTAAAAATAAGAATTTTATTGTGGAAACGTGCTTACAAATGTATGTTTTTTTAATTCAAAACTATAAATAATGAATGTTATTGACACGAAATGCCTACAGATCTGTTACAAAAGCAAATTGAATATTCGCGGTCTTTTAGATATCTCATCGATGACTTCGTCAGCTGTGATTCTCATGATTTTAGAGATCCTCAAATAATATGTAAAAGAGATACTAGACGTCAATGTTTTGTGTTTAGATACTTCTAATGTAAGTACTTATTTTGTTTCTTTGGATAGTCTTCATCCGTTCTAAAAAAGAAAGCTTTGTTCTGCAGTAGAAGTGGATGGTTCCGTGCGCGAAGTCCACGTTAGTCTTAAAAGCTTTTGACTGCCTCTGGCCGGTGGGTTGATGCCCTCGGGAAGACAAAGGACGAGGCCACGTAATGAGCGGCGCTATACAGAAATTCCGCTCAGTGCGTGGCTACTTCAATAGTATTTCATATGTTTTAATTTTAACTCACTCATCCCCTCGCCGCCTTGCCGCTCATTGCGTGGCTTCGACCTAAGACTGAAATCACCGACATCCAAGGAATGCGACGGGCGGGGAGGGGTAAGCTAAGCATGGAGCCTTGCGACATCTGTTACAGTTGCCACGTAAAGGAGCGCTAATTCTGTGTTGGATTTGTGGTGGGAGAGAGACTCCGTCGCCGAGTACACCCCTGGTGGACGAAAGTCTAACCACAATCCGCATCAAGGCGGGATTCTCCAACATCGAACCCCCGACGGAAGAGAAGGCGTCCAAGGATCTCTTCTATGAGTGCTGCCCTAGCCATGATGTAAACGTCATGCTTGGCGATTTCAATGCCAAGGTGGGCAAAGAAGGGATCTTTGGCACCATCTGGGACTATGAAACGTCCGATAACGTACTGAGTCTTCTCGACTTCGCCGGGGCCAGAAACATTGTGATATGTAGTACTAGGTTCCAGCATAAAAATATCCATTAATCTACTTGATCGAAATCGATCCAAAAACGGGAAACCAAATCGCTAATGTTGTGATAGACGGAGGGCATATTTACAGTGTTTTAGACGTACATACACTCCGAGGGCTAAACATCGACTCGCAAACTCTCTCTTGTTGAAGCCAATATGCGCAGCCGCCGCTGGGCAGCAAAAAATTTGTGCCACAACAACAATGCAAGGAAAGCTTAACGCCGAAATGCTGATGTCACAACAAATGGCGAATTTATTCTGCACTCGACTCTCACACCTGCTCTCCGAGATCAATCTTCAACAAACCGAAATATGCGTGCAGTGGAACCATATTTACCGCTCATTAAGTACCGCCCCGGAAGAAGTAGTCGGATTTCAGCGAGCCCGAAAGAAAAACTGGCTCGATGAGGTGTGTCAAGAGCTGCAGAAAAAAAGATGCCATCAACAGGGCTACGCTGCGATCGGGCGCAACGCGAGCCATGTGAGACTGTTATAGGGAAACGAAAAGGGAAGCGGCCGAAATACGTGAGAGCGAGGAGCTTGAAATGCTAAAAGACAGGAAAAAGGACTGCAAATTTTATCAGATCGATGACGATGGAGTCGATGTCCCACCGCCTGACTATGACGAGGTACGTATAGCAATAACGCGGCTGAAAAACAACAAAGCCGCTGGAGCTGACAGCCTGCCAGCTGAGCTATTCAAGTACGGCGGCGAGGAGTTGATAAGGTGCATGCATCATCTCTCTTGCAGAATATGGTCAGATGAACGCATGCCCGACGACTGGAATTTAAGTGTGCTCTGCCCAATCCACAAGAAAGGTGACCCCGCCATTCGCGCCAACTACCGCGGGATCAGCCTTCTAAGCATAGGTTATAAGATGTTATCGACTGTATTGTGCGAAAGACTGAAGCCCAACGTCAACGAGCTGATTGCACCTTATCAATGTGGTTTTAAGCCTGGAAAATCCACCATAGTATTCACAATATGCCAAATCTTGGAAAAGGCCCGCGAGAATAGGATCGACACACACCATCTATTTGTCTTTATGCCGCGATGTCTGAATTTGGTGTCCCCGCAAAATTAATACGGCTGTGTAAAATGATGTTGAGTAATACATCAGCTCTGTTAGAATTGGGATGGACCTCTCTGAGCCACGATGTTTCAGACAAGTTGACTCCCTTTCGAGTGATTTCTTTAGTATGATGTTGGAGAAGATAATAAGAGCCTCATAACTGAACCGCTCAGGCACAATACTTTACAAGAGCGTACAATTGTTGGCGAATGTCAAAAACTCAATATTAGCGGTAAAAACAAGGGCTACGTCTGGTCTGCCTTCTCGGGATTGGATAGAGAAGCAAAGCGATTGGGTCGGCTGGTGAACGAGGACAAAACGCAGTATCACCTATCATCACACTAGCAGTCGGAGCATACGCGTCTTTGCACCCACATCACTGTTGACAGTTACAAGTTTGAAAAAGTAGACGACTTTGTTTATTTGGGAACCAGCATTAACATCAATAATAATTCCAGCACTGAAATCCAATGGAGAATTACTCTTACCAACAAGTGCTAATGTGGACTGAGTAGGCAATTGAGAAGTAAAGGCCTCTCTCCTCGTACAAAAATCTCACTCTATAAGTAACTCATCATGCCTGTGCTGGTGTATGGCCGACGGCGAATACTGTAGACGATTTAACGATGAGCTGTATGAGCTTTACAACAAATGTAGACATAGTGCAGCGCATTAAAATTCAGCAGCTCCGCTGGCTAGGTCATGTCGTTCGAATGGACAGAAACGCTACAGCTCTGAAATTATTCAACTTACCAGAGGACACGAAGGCCTTCTCTGCGTTGGAAAGATCAGATGGAGACGACTTGGCTTCCGTTTGCATTTCAAATTCGCGTCGGCGGGCACAGAAGAAAAACGACTGGCGTGCTATTTTGGACGCGGCCAAAACCGTTTAGGCAGTTACAGTGCCAATAAATAATAAGAAGAACTTCCTATAAATCCTGAAAAATTTCCCAATATGTTCCATATGTTTTTTGTGCATATCATGAAATTTGAAGTTTGGCTTGTTTATAATGCGCAGCACCTACATACAATCTCCTTCGTTATAATTACTTTGTATTAACTTCGTAATAATTACTGGCTAACAGCCTAATTCACCTCCCAAATGGCGGTAATAACTCGTAAACTAACCGTAACCAGAAAACCGAATTAATTTCTATAAGCGAAATATAATATGTAACTATGGATATTCATTGGGGCGGGCAATTTCTTTGGGAGATTTTTTCGATTAAGTGCGTATAGCAGAGAAGGATTC